CTCCCAAATGTCATATAAACTGCAATATCCTAATAGGATGCCTATGTCAGTTTGTCAGCTCTAGGGCCTCAGAGCATGTGGGCACGAGTCTCCCAGGGAGGGCAAAGTGAAAAAATTGGTGAAACAGGGGACCAGGAGTCAAAGGACTCAGGAAAAAAGAGAGATAGTAGTAAGAAAATAAACAGCCTAGAAATAAAATTAGCTAAAGCTGCCCCTCGGATTCAACCTTTGATACAAAAAGAAAAATGATACTCCACACTGGAGCTGTTGAAACCAGGAAATGCTTTCAAACAAAAAATCAAAGAGCCCCTCACCACATGGCTCATGAGGGTATGGGATATGGGAGCAAAAAAAATGTTAAAGTCCTTTAGAAGCGTAACAGCTGAGTTATATATCCACCCACCCATCATTGCCACATAGGCTGTTTAACCTAGGCCAGTACAGGAGGGAGCAGTCTGCAATGGAATGGCTTGTGCAAGGCATTACAGATACATGATCATCACCAATGGAAACTCCCATGATTATCAGGGGCTGACAGGCATTATTGAGAAAACTAGGCATAAGGAAAGCAATATGTGATGCCCAGTTCACTGGGTCATATAGGGTTGTGTTCACCAGAGATATAATGGAAAACTTGATTCAACAGGGATCTCAAGATCGGTATGGAGCTTTAATGGTTTTGCTAAGTCCCTTAGTTAGGCAAGATCTTTGTGAAGTAGGAGAGGCTTTGGCAGATATAAATGACTTTGATTCAACAGGGACCTCAAGATCGGTATGGAGCTTTAATGGTTTTGCTAAGTACCTTAGTTAGGCAAGATCTTTGTGAAGTAGGAGAGGCTTTGGCAGATATAAATGACTTAAACCAGTGCGTAAAACATGTCTGTAAAATAATAGAGCAACCTAAAAGAGATATATATAAAAAAAACAAAATAAATTGTCAAAAAGCCAAATTCTGTGCTAATGAGTTTCTGGAAGGCTTTAAAACCTGAGGAACAGTTCACAAAAGGCACGCAAAGGATGAAAACTACCCCAGGGGTGGGTCAGGACCCCCGAAGATTAAACAAGGTACATTTCTCTCCTGGGAAAAGTTATGCTAGTGTGGGAGGAAGTTTGCACGTCCAGGGCCTCCCCTAGCAACCAGGTATGGTCAATGGAGAGACAACAGACGCAGCTACAGACAGGAGGCAGACCCATGGCCTACCTGACCTGGGGAACCAACGGGTATAGCAGGAACAAGAGGAGCCCTCTTCCTCCTTGGCCCTGTGCAAGGTCGGGCAACTTGAACCAGCCCCAATGAGTTTATCAAAGATAAGGAAATGCAGGGATTCTCCATGTAAAATCCCCAGAATGTGGAATGACTCCAAAAAGATAACTAAACATAGTAAAGAACTAAGTTAATACCTCTTATTTGTGCTATTGTACCCAACATAAATATGTTGAGAAAAAATTAATACAAATGGACAAAATCTTTCCATGCTGTGTTAGACCTTGTCTATGTTTAATTTAGTTTATAATGTTAACCTCTGAGTGTTCTATAAATGTGAAATCCATTTAAGAGATATACCTGAAGAAACAAAGGCTTCCTATAGCTATAAAATTCTTGGAAGCTTTATGGTCAGGTAAGGCAAAAGTGACACCCACCAGAATGGTTGGGAAAAGTCTACAACAGCCTGATCCTGTAGATGCCAGAGTAAAAAACAAATATGTTATAAAAATAAAAACAGAGGCTTCCCCAAACTGTACAATTGTTAAATAAAAATTCCAGTACCAGGGATAGGTTGCCCGCCATGAGCTATTGACTAGAGAGACCCTGGAGGGCCTCAAAATGATAAAGGCTATAGCCACTAATGTTGGTTGCAGGCCAGGAACTGTCAGTAAGGCCCTTGTTGCTGAAGATACTGCATGATGTGAGTGTGAGAAAGGGAGAGATGAAGCCGAGACTAAGCTGGAAACTCTCTGCCCATGGCTGGTGGTCAAAGCACCAGGAGGTGCTTAGCAGAATCATCAAGGGAGAATGTTTCCAAATGTTCTGCTCAATGCAGACCCCCATGTGCTACACTATCAACATGCCAAGCAAGATGTTCCTACTGGTGCAATAGTGGCATGCTAGTGTAGTTACAACCAGCAAATTTTCACCTGAATATCAGGCCCACTCCTAGGGGTGGAACACACATCTGGTACTGTAGCCCAGGCTAACCTCCAATGGCAGGGAACGTCATAGACCCCAGTGGGTAAGGCACTACAACCGTTTTGTTAGATAAATGTGATGCACCTGTTAAAGTATCTTCTAAGCATTTGTGTTTACACCCATAGATTGGATTATTACAGCAGTCATGTTTGTTTAGATGTTCCTGCTTCTTTTCATTTTTCTTTATAGTAGGAGAAATACCACCAAGATGGATCAACATCCACATCTTGGAAACAAATGATGAGGAGGCCCAAGAGTTCAATCTCTTGCCACAATAGAAGAACAATTGTCCTACATCTGTCACCCCCTCCAAGGCTCAGGGACACTTGTGGAAGAGATTGGCAGAAAGATTGTAAGACCTGGAGGAAGGGATGGAGTGTTGGACAAGCTTGTCCTCTAAGTGACAAGAGAGACTGGCAAGCAGTGGACAGATGCCTTCTTCTCTAGCTTCTCACCCACTTGCTTCAATCACCTCAAATTAATTGAACTATAAGACCCTCCATAGGAGGGTAAGAGGCAGTGGGAGTCAGTCACCCCTCCCAATCAGTCAGCCTTAGCTGCATAAGGGGGAGGGACTAAGGAGACGGACAGGGGAAGCCATGGAGGAGAGTGGCCTTCGACATCTTGGACCACCACCAGCAGTTCAGGAAGCCCCAGCCACAATGTAGGGGAAAAGCCTATGCATGCTTGCACTTTTGTTAAGTACCCTGCACCACCACCCTGAATTCACTTAATTCCTGAGTAGTTTTTTTGCTTTCATTCAGTCACATATTTATATGTTCTTGAGCTAAAATCAGAAGTTTATTCCTATCCTTTGGAGTTCTTTATTTGTGAATTCTTTAAGTCACTGAATTTTTCGATCGATCATGTTTATGATTGTTCTTTTCAATCCTGCATCCTGGGGATCCTCTGGGTAATTCTCATTGTAGTATACTTCTATAGGACTTACGGGTTTTACATATCATCTTTGCGTTTCATGTCATCTGTATTTTGGCATTTTAGTCTGGGCATATGGATTTATTTTATTGACTGTGTTCGATGTGAAATTCCAGCCTGTTACTTAGTTCAACTGTGGCTCTGTTAATATTGATAATGTAGCTTAGTTGCTTTCTGGTCAGGATGAATAGTACTTGTTCAGGTTCTCACTTTTGATTTTTTTATTGACAGGACCAGATGGATCCAAGATGACTAGTCAAGGGCTCTCCAGCAGGGCAGAGGGACCTAGACCCAATTCAAGACTATGTGAATCCAGTGGTCTGGTTCTGGCAGGCTAGTCCAGAACTCTCAGGAGGAGCATGAGAGGCCTAAGCCCAAGGTCGGTGGTGGAGGGGGGAAATGACATGGGACACAGGGTGGGGAGGGTCTAATGAGCTAAACAGAGTAGATGTGAGCCCTGAAGCAGGGAGAATGGAGCTGGTCCCAGAGCAGAGGGATCAAGACCCAGAGCAGGATTTGTCTTATAAGCCAAGGTTATACTCGCTTATACCTCTTCAGAAATAAACTTTGTGTTTGGTGGTTTGTTTTGAGGGACCGTTCACTGCCTTGTAAATCTGTTTTTCTCCCCAATGCTTCCACTAGGAAACTTTATTACTCTCTGGGGACCCGGCAAAGAGACGGGCCTGTCTTCCATAGGAAAGTCTGCATTGCAGACTGATAAGGATTCTGGCCACTGCTAGTCTGTCGTCCAAAATGACTGTGCCATTTTTCACAGCTATCAGTAAATAAGGAGCGTTCCCGTGGCTCCACATCCTGGCCAGAGTCTGTGCTGTCGGTATTCTGAAGTTTGACTGATGTGGAGGTATCTCATCATTTGCAGTGGTATCACATAATTTTAATTTACTTTTACTTGGTGACATTTGATCAGAAGACTCTTTCCAGATACAGTGTCTTCCACTTGGAGAATCTTCTTTGTTGGTGAGGCTCTGTTAAGATTTTGGCCTGCTTTTATTGGGTTGTTTTATTACTGAGGCTTATTACATGTAACTAGCACAAAATGGGCATGTACACCAACAAAAATAGAAAATAAGACAAAGAAATAAACTCATGCACCTACAGCCATCTGATTCTCAAGAAAGTTATCAAAAACATATGTTAGAAAACAGCCTCTTTAACAAATGGAGCTGAGAAAACTGAGCATCACATGTAGTAGACAGAAACTAGAGTCACATCTCTCATCCTATAGAAAAATCAGTTCACAATGGATGAGAAACCTTCATGTAAGATCTGAAACTTTGATATTAGTAGAGGAAAACATGGGGAAAATAAGACAGACTTCTCAAACAAAACATCCGCAACTATGAACAAAAGTATGGGTTTGAAGCTGTTCGAGGCCTGTATTACAAGCACTTAGGAAATAGAGGCAGGAAGATCAGGAATTTGATGTCTTCTTCAGCCACATAGTGAGTTCAAGACCAACCTCGTTCACACCTTTAATCCCAGTACTCTGAGGACAAAGGTAGTAGGATCTCTATGAGATGAGGCCAGCCTGGTCTGCATGTTGAGTTCCAAATCAGATGGGGATGCAGGGAAACCTTCCTTCAAATGCCCCCCACCCCCTAAAAAAGAAGAAAAGAAAACTAAAAACAAAACAAAACAATAAAAAGTGGTTTTGAAAATGTTGGCATTGAAGCAGACATCTATAGACAAAGGTTTTAACTTGGCAAAATTGAAGTAGCCAATAAGTGACTGAGCAATGTTATTTTCCATTTAGGGCAAACAGTTCCTATACACTGGCTCCACCCAGAGAACTTCCTGAGTAGAAGGCTTTGGGGTATGCAAGTGCTCTTACTTTAGAGTTAGGCAGAAGCACCGGCTCAAACAGATCCTTGAAGAGACCTTGAACTCTCATCAGCTCCTACAGAAGAAGGTGAGTCGGGCTGGGAAGAGACCCAGAGGTAAAGAGATGTGAGGGGAAGAGGGGACAGAGCATCCGTCGGGGGAGAGGACTGTGACCTGAGGAGGGAGGAGATATTGTCTTAACAGCACTAGTGATTGTTTGGCCTAGGTGGGAGTGATACAGGGTAGGGGACACAAGGAGATTAATGAGCATGGGTCCCCTACCTCTCACACTTCACAGGATGAATTCTTCCTTTATAGCGCACCTGCCATAGGTGGCTGTCGGGCAGACACAGAGCACTGCTGAAATCCTGCACAAGAAATTCTGTGCCCTCAAGGTAGGCTTTTCAGAGCTGGAAGGAACTTACAGATCCTCCATCTAAGTCCCTCTATTTCTTGAAAGAATCCCAGAAAGTCTTGACATTCCTCATTATCCGAGTCACTCACAGCGACTAGAATTCAGTGTGCTGACTCCTCTGCATCATTCAACAATCTGCGTCCCTGGCAGTGTGACCTGGGGGATGGAGGAGGGCGGCTGGGAGGGACAGGTGCTCTGAGCGAGCAGCACGACCTGAGGTGTCTGCGCTGCTCTGGGTCCCTCGCTTGCTTTCTGTCCTTGGGTTTCCTCTGCAGAATGGCCTTGCCTAGCAAGCCTCTTGATCCTGTAAGAGACCTTCACAGAACTGGCCTAGTGGAGCCAGTTCTCCAGTGTCTGGCTCTTTGAACTTCCATGTTTCACGGTGGAAAGAAGTGAATCTGAAGGCGCTCTGGAAGACAAGGAAAACGCGGCTTCTTTCCCTTTGCCGGGGTTCGTTGCTGAGGTCCTCTAAAAGCGCACTGCAGAGAGAGCGATTAATTTATTTCACAGAGATGGTGTTGTTGTAATCCACTGCACTCCAAAATATTTTAACTGCATCATTACAGTTATGTTCTTATTGATGTTCACACCTGAGTCTCTTCAAGGTGGCCCGAGAGTCCTTTTCATAGAACCAAATAATTTTGTGTGTTTCCTTGTTTCGAACTTGAAAGCATTGTTCAGGTTTCCCTGCTGACTTTCCTGTCCCAGATTTAGAATCTGTTCTTTGTTCCAGGACCACAAATTTTTAAGATGTGAAATGTCATATGAAGATTCATACGTGGCATGAACCTCTGCTATCAGGCTTCCACAGTCTACAGCTGTTAGATGGACTTCAGATCTCCACACGCGCACACACACACACACACACACACACACACACACACATATAAGTATGTATACACAGACACAAACATATATACATACACAGAGAAACACACCATATACACACAGAGGCTCATGCAAACATGTATAGACAGAGACACACATACACACACCACAAACAGAAGTATACACGCTACACAGACACACACATACATGCACACACATATATGCACAGACACACACAAACACACACACACATACACAAGAATACATGATACTAAAAATAACGTATGGGTTTTGTGAGGGTTTTATTTCTTTGTTTTTGTTTCTGTCCTGAGGATTTGTCCTCCAACGCCTGAACAATGAAATGTCTACACAAGAATACATGATACTAAAAATAACGTACGGGTTTTGTGAGGGTTTTATTTCTTTGTTTTGTTTCTGTCCTGAGGATTTGTCCTCCAACGCCTGAACAATGAAATGTCTACATTTTCCAGGTCTCTTGGAACTCTTTGCATGATTTATCCATCACAGAAAATACAATTCAGTTCATTTGTTGTTCATTTTATGGCATTTCAAAATGAATTTTGTTTTGTAAGTATGAAAATGGTTCTAAATGACGTTCAGCTCAATTCTATAAGACAGTCTGGTGAACGGAGTCTGGTTTCCTGCTGTCTTCCTCCCTTCATCTGGTTTCTCCCGTTGTGCAGCAAATAATGTGTGTGCGCTTCAGTTCAGACGACCTTGCCAGTGCCTTGCATTCATGAGAGCAGTAGATGCATTTCACGTTTCTCTTCCATAAGAGTGGTAGTAACTCTACTTTGTCTTCTCCCGTTCTCCCTTTAAACATTAAAGGGGGAATGTGGCTACTGGACTTCTTGAAATTTTATGCTATTTATTTGTGTGTGTATGTGTGTGTGTGTTGGTAAGCATGCATGGCCTGGTGTAGCAATCAGAGGACAAATTGTGAGAATCTTTCTTTCCAACACGTGGGCTCTGGGGATGAAACTCAGGTCATCAGGCTTGGTACAAGTACCTTTAACTGCTGAGCCATCTGACCTTCCCTACGTGCTTTCCTTTCTTTCTCTCTCTTTCTTTCTCTTTCTTTCTTTCCCTCATCCTTCCATCCCTCCCTTCCTCTCTCCCTTCCTTCCTACCTTTCTTTCTTTCTTTCTTTCTTTCTTTCTTTCTTTCTTTCTTTCTTCTTTCTTTCTTTCTTTCTGTCTTTCGTCTTTATTTCTTTCTTTCACTTAATGACCTGGTTTGGAGATCTGTCTATATTGCCATGTAGAAATACCTCTCATTCCTTTTCAGTAGGAGAAAATTTCTGGTTAAAATGTAATAACCTGTATTTATGGATTCAGTAATTTTCAAAAACTGTATTAAAGGGTCTGCTGGTCAAATCAGGGGAAGCATCACCTCCATCTTCTTACTGTCTCTATGTTTGCCATCTCTGAAAGCCTCTCTTAGTTCTTCATCTACTATACAGTAGGTTATTGGAACTAAAGTCAGCCCACTGTGCTGCAGAGTATTAGAATTTACTCCTTTGACACAGCGTCTTTCCCCTTTACTGTTTCCTTGGACACAGCATCATACACTAGCCCCAACTGGCCTCACACTGTAGGGATCCTCCTTTCTCAGCCTCCTGAGGCCTTTCCTTAATTTTTTCATGCTGAAGTTAGTCTGGCCTTAAATTTTTGTTTCTTGAGCCACCTGCAATATCTTTTTCTGAGTTTCTATGATCATGTTTTCATTTCTAGAATTAGTTGTCTCTGACTTTTAAAAAGACATGTTGACATGTTTATGGTAAAAAAAAAAAAACATTTTGGTGAAGATGTGCTTGGTTCCAGTCAGACACTGTAGCATAGATTGGGAGTGGCAGTTGGTACAATGATCTGGGAGTGCACCTTCTCAGTCCTGGTCTGGCTTTCAGGCACATGGCAGGGCAGCGATCGGGTACACTGAGTCTCAAGTCTGGCACTAGTCATGGCCAGAAACAGTGACCACTGTTTCCAAGATTGGTATGTAGGTCATAGCAGGGGTAGGAACATATTCTATATGTAATCATGAACAGTTTAAGTAGTGTTGAGATTCTCATAGTTTTAAAAGCATGCTATGGATGATGAGATGACTCAACAGTAAAGATTCTTGTTTCTCAAGCCTGACAATCTGAAGATGTTCAGTACCCAGAATCCATATGAAGTTAAAGGCGATAACCATCTCCAAGAAGTTGTTATCCTCTGACTTCTACACAAACACTGTAGCTCAGACCTGCCACTGGAACTTCCATGTATAATTACGTGGGCCAGTGTTCTTCTATGGTTTCTCCATTTCTCTTATGGTTGTATTTCATCTTTCTGCCTCTAGTGGAATGTGTGAAGACAATAGAATATCAGAAAATTCCAGGGTAGAAAGAAAAAAGAAGGATTTGGGGGGTTCCCATGTATCTAACGCCATCTTCTCTCCTCCTTTTCCCTAAGATCTGCGCGGTCCTGATCCCGGCCCTTCCCTGACATAAACATGGCTGGCTGTGAAAACGCTGCTCTGAGGATCGTTCTGGTAGGAAAGACAGGAAGTGGAAAGAGTGCCACGGCCAACACCATCCTCGGGGAAAAGATATTTGCTTCAAAGATTTCTATCCAAGCTGTTCCCAAGACCTGCCAGAGAGCATCCCGGAAATGGAAGGGGAGAGAACTAGTTGTAGTTGACACTCCTGGGCTCTTTGATACTTATCTGACCATGGCTACCAAATGTGAAGAAATCAGCCGCTGTGTCCTCTACTCCTGCCCTGGGCCTCACGCCATCATCCTGGTTCTGCAGCTGGGCCACTATACAAAGGAAGAACAGAGGACTGTTGCTTTGATCAAGGGTTTCTTTGGGGAGGCAGCCATGAAGTACATGATTGTCCTGTTCACCCACAAAGATGAACTTGAGAGCAGGAGCCTTGATGACTTTTTAGAAGAAGCAGACATAGAGCTGAGCAGCCTCATCCAGGAGTGTGGGAGCCGCTGCCTGGCCTTTAACAACAGAGCAGGGGAGGCTGAGAAGGAAGATCAAGTGCAGGAGCTGGTGCAGCTGATAGAGAGAATGGTGCGGGGCAATGGAGGGACTTACTTTTCTGACAACATATATGAGGATACAGGGGCAAAAGTGAACCAATGTCAAAGGGAGTTGGAGACAATCTGCTCCAATCAATTCAATGAATATATCAAAAGAATGAGAGAGGAAACATTGATTAAATTAAAAGAAGAAGAAAGGAAAAAAATAGATGAAATATGCAGAGATTATGAGGAAAAAATGAGAAATATAAGGGCACACGCAGAGGAGAAGGCAGCTATAGGGTTTTTTAAATATATATGGGAAAAAATTGCAAGGTTTTGGAAAAACTTGTGGTCGTAATGTAAATTTCATTTTGTTTTTTATTAATTAAATTTGTTCTGGGACAATTTCATACATCTATATTAGACACTGATTATATTCATTTTGATTTTTTTTTGTTCTGTTTTATGATCCACTGAGTTGAATCTGGACCCACCAGGTGACAATGGGTTTGGAACTCCCTACCAGTCTCTGCAGTGCTCACCACTTGGTACACAACTGAACACAATGACTTCTGTTTCCCAGAATCCATCAGCAGCTACTTTTTAAGCATAGTGGAGCATGTCCACATCAGCCCCTCCCACAAAATGGCAGGAAGTCATTGTCAGACATTCAACCCAAAGAGCATTAATTTCTAGACTATACAAAGAACTAAAAAAACCCAGACACTAAGGAAATTAACAACCCTATTAAAACAGGGCTCTGGAACTGAGCATTGTGATGCCTAGTTTTTGCCAACCTAACACAAACTAGAGCCACCTGGGACGATGGACCCTCACCTGAGGAGTTTCCTTCTTCAGACTGGCCTGTGGCCATGACTGTGGGCATTTTCCTGATTGCTAACTGATGTAGGAGGCCCAGGCACTGTGGACACTGCCATCCCCGGGCAGGTGGGCCTGGGCTGGATGAGGAAAGTGCTGAGCGCTCCAGGGGAAGCAAACTAGTAAGCAGCGCTCCTCCATGGCCTCTGTTTAGTGTCACCTCCAGGTTTCTGCCTTGAGTTCCTGCCTGACTCTCTTCAGTGAGGAACTCTTGCTTTGGAAGTACAAGATGAAATAAACCCTTTCCTCTCCAAGTTGCTTTTTAGTCACAGTGTTTACCACAAAACAGAAGATAAATTAAAACGGCCGTCATCAGGGATACAAATCTCAGTAAATACTGGCATGGATGTGGGGAACAGGAACTCTTCTATACCACTGGTAGGAGTTTAAACTAGGACATCCACTTCAGTAAATAGTCTGGAGGTTCCTCAAAACCTAGAAAGAGAATTACAATATGACCCAGGATATCACAGCAAAGCATATGCATGAGATTTGATGCCCCACCACAGAGACCCTGGTACATCCGTGTTCACTGCCCCACAATTCCTGGGAAATGGAAAGAAATAAATGTCCAGCAATGAATGGACCAGAAAAAAAGGGCAAACGTATGCATGGAATATTATTCAACATTAAGTAAAGATGAAATCATGAGAGCCAGAGGTTAAGCACACTGTACAGGAAAAGAAATCACTTTGAGTGAGGTAAACTCAGGCTCAGAAGGGCAAACACCACATGTTCTCTCTCATGTGAGGATCCTAGATTCAGATCTTTTATTCTGTGTATCTGATTTGGAGCACAATTGGAAGTTAGAAAAGTATAAAGGGACTTTGGGAGAAGGACACATTAATGAAAGGTGGATAGTAGATGACAGGCCAATTGAAAGCAGAGTGATGGAACACTGGGGGTGGGAAGTCGAACAGGGAGGGAGATGGAAATATGGAGGAGTTTCGGGAGTGCAATGGGGGGGCTAACCCAAAGGAAGGGGTCAAAAAGCCAAATGGAGGCCTACTATCTCACAACCCAACTTAAAAGAACAAGGTCTTGCTTTTCCTACCTTAATGTCAGCAGGCCTCACTCTGAAGATTCTCCCACTCCATGGCTTCAGGTGGCCTTGTTCCTAGGGCCTTGCTGCCCTGCAACACATGGCACATTGGAGCCTGTTAGAGGCGTGCCTGGGCAGCTGAGGAGCCTGACGTGGCATATGGGAGCATGGCTTCCTCTACGAGGCAGCATTGGGCAGCTATGGTCCCTCTTTTAAAATGATTCTGTCCTCACAGCCCAGAATATCTGAACTCGTGATGATAACAATTCTGTGTTGACATCTGAAGTGCCTCCACAGTCATTCTCTACCACCTTCGGCAACACTGCCTGGATTCTGTTTAGGCAGCTGACCAGGGTCAGTGTCTTGAGTGACACCTGCTTCCCTTGAGATTTACAATTCATGCTAAGCTCTGCAGCAAAGAACTACAGGGTACAGCCTGTTTCTGCTTCACTCTCTGAATTCATTGAAGAGTTCCCATATGAGTGCAATGTCTGTTGATCGTATCCATGTCTTGCCCCCTCCAACTCCCTCCGGCATCCTCTATAATATGAACCTCCCAACTTCATGTCTTCCTTTTTAAAGGATTTTGTTTCTTTATTTAAGCCCACAGAGTCCAATCAGTGCTGACAATGTGGGCATGAGAAACATACCAGTGGTCCTAATTCTAAGGAAAATGCACAAGTTCTCACCTCCAGATGAAGAGCTACAGGAATCAGTGGATATAGGGAGAGAAAGCCTCAGCTTCCTCCAGGAAGGAGTTCCCTGATAGGTTCCCTGATAGTTCCAAGTGGTCAGCTCTAAACACAAATATATGCAAGACCACTAAGTCGACTCATAGACGGGGGGGGGGTATCTATTTGTAACAATAATTAAACAGAAGGTCAAGAAAATGAGATGCCCCACTATGCCTTCACCTATACCTTAATTTAACTTACAGAAATAAAAATCACAGTGAGAAGAGTTTCAAAAAGAACTAGAGGGGGCTGGAGAGATGGCTCAGCAGTTAAGAACACTGGTTGTTCTCATAGAAGACCCAGGTTCAAATCCTCAGCACCCACACAGCAGCTAACAACTGTCCATAACTCCAGTCCCAGGCAATCCAACAGCCTCTTCTGACCGCCATGGGCGTTGCACGACATGGGTGCACTTACCTACATGGAGGCAATACACACATAAAATAAAAATAATAAATATAATTTTTAAAGTTTAAAAAAGAAATAGAAAGTACTTACCTTAACTGATATAATCCTCAAACTGAATATGTGCAATTATAGCTTAGAATATACTTTTGAAATTATACATGTATACTATAATTTTTGAATATTGTTTACTGGCAAAACTATACTACAAAGCTTCAATAATAATGTGAAATGTGTCACTGGTGTTATAATGTGAGTTTGCCACTCACTCCCTTTCCAAATTCTCCATCCTATACGAAATCTTTCATTGTAATCATGTTATTTCTTAAAGAAAGCAATGCTAATAAAACATTTTTAAATATTAAAGAAATTGAGACAGTGTCAGGGTTGGAAATGGGGGGAGTTGGAGTTCGAGAAGCAGGAGCAGAATGATTAAATAGAGTCCTCATGTATGAAAGTATCAAAAAACTCTTGTTTTAAGTTTTTTTTAAAAAAATTTCTTCGTCTAAGTCGTTCTGTCAAGCATCGGGTCACAGCAGTGCAAAAGTAAATAACACATCAGATACTTTAAAGTCTCTCACTCTGTTCACTAACTAGAAGTCCTGCACTACTAAAGCATCCTTCCTTGAGGGAGCAGCCTGGCCTTTGGGTTTTACAGCAGGAAACCCCACTGAACAAGCCCTTCGCTTGGTCTAATTTTCATGTCCACGTTTTTTAGGCCTTGCCAACATCCTGACTGACAGCTGTTCGACCTCTCTGATCTCCCTCGGTTTCTACTCCTCTGGCCCCATGGTTGGGAACATTTTTTTTTTTTAATTTCTCACTCCTGCTTTTAGGACTACAAGCACAATACTGTTCTTCTGGTTGATTTCAGTGGGAGGATAGTGACTGTCTGCCTGAAAGGAAGTTTAATTGTTTGCCTATTTAGTTTTTCCTAGTTAAGTTCTATGCTGAGAAGCCAGTTCCCTTCAGGGTTATTTTTTTCTGTTTATTTTTACCTCTTATCTCCTCTTCATTCTCTAGGGTTTCCCCAAATGTCAGTTCTGCTTAGTGCCTTTTCATAGTTGAGAACAAATTATTAGAATATCTGACTAGAAGGTCTGTAATGGGATTGTGGATTTCACTGGAAGGAACAGAGCAGGTGTAGATGGCTCTGTGGAGTTAATCCTGGGTATCTTCTGTGAGACATCCTAATCTTTGGAGAAATTTTTCTCACCATGTTGGTAAAGGATGGGTAGATGCCTTGAGATGCAGTATTCTGAACTGTTGGGAGGGTGGGAACTATGGGGCCTATAATTCCAGCTAACTCTACTTCCATCTGCTAGCCTAGCCGTCTCCAGCTAACCTTTCTGAACCAAATCCATTAATGATTCAGCTTCTGTGTCACCACCTGCCTACAGGCTCTCTGGGCATGTGCAGGATGTCTGTGCTCTGTCCCAAGCCCTCATGTCCCCCTGACTTCCTGGTATTTGGTCAAAGGTTTAACACTGGTGTTTTTACTTCCAAGAGCTTTGTAATGTCACAGGGGTTTTTGTCTTTTGAAAATAAAGTGTATGTGTGATCCTGTATTTGGGTATCTTTATGTGAGTGCAGGTGCCCACAGAGTGCAGAGTCATCTTATCTTCCTGTAGCTGGAGATACAGGATGTCGTGAGCCTCTAAGGTGTTGCAGGAAACCAAACATGAGTTCCATGGGACAACATGGTCTCCTAATCACTGAGCCATCTCTCCAGCCCAGTGATGCTGTGGCTTCATAACGTTTACTCTCTTCCTTACCTCGTGTATAGAATGATAGGCTGTGTGCAGCTTACAATAGATGCTAGACCACAGTCTTATCATAGAGTTGACATTTAACAAGCCAACTTGTTATCCTGATCATGAAGTCCCTGATCTCTTGTTAAGTGGAAATAAAACAAATCAAGAAAAAAAAATTGTACAAAATACTTTCACGTTTGTATTCACAAAGAACCACTCATGGCTATCCGCATATTCTTCTACAGATTTTGTCAGCATTGGTTAAAATATCTAATAACCAAAACTTATTTTGATATACTTTTCTCTTTGCCGATTCCATATAGAACACACACCCTGTGAGCTTTCCCTGCGGCCTCTCTGCTTCCCGCCCATTACGTCAGCCTTCCATCTTCCTGCTTCTGTGCTTTAAAACTCTTTGTCAGGATTCTGTAAGAGGAGGTGCAGCCAGCACCTTTTACTTCAGTCAGCTCTACACTGAGCTCTGAGTGTCTGTAACCAGGTCTCCTCTCCAGGGGGAAAGAGAGGAAACCCCTGCCCCTGGCCAAGGCCAGTCCACAGTGATACTTGAGGAGGATCCTGAG